GCGAGGAACTAATATCTATCAACACATGAGCCAGAGTAGTGCACCTTTATTCAATAGAGACATGTGTGGACTTATTATGGTTTCTTCCTTCAGGGGTCAGATCAGCATCAGAAAAACCTAACCCATTGTCGGTCGTTAAGTTAGCAACATAGCTTTCAAATTGGTCGGCAGAAATTTCTTGTGGCACATGAACAGTCTTCAAAATTTTCACCAAAGCCTGTGCACGAGCTTCAGAACACAATAACATGGATAACATGGAGATTTTAGAGGGAGTCTGTCCCAGCTATTCAGCAATCTTGTAATCACTCTTACGGATAATCTTTAAAACCTCTTCCAACTTTTTCCTAGAGGTGTCTTCAGTTGCAACTTCTTTAGGTGCCTCCGTCTGGACAGGCTCAATCATTGGTTCTTTGCTCCGAACTTCAGTACTTGACTAGGTAGTGGTAACTTTAACAATTGTAGAAACAGTCTTCAGAGATATTTCTAGGGATGAAACCCTTCCTCTTCTAGTAACCTTATTGGTCCCAACAGTATTGTCAATGTCAGGATCAACAATTTCAGTAACTTCATCTTCAATTGTTGATAGTTCTTACTTGACGCCATGGTAGTAGACGACAGATCCATAATTCTAAGGAATATATTTATTTGAAGAATATAGAATAGGTCCAGGTGTAGTGATGATTAAAGGAGCAGCCTTTGGATTGGCAGTAATTCTTACAGGACCTTTGGAAGTGATCCTGATAGGAGTTCCAGAAATTACAGATGAGTCTTGAAAAAGATTTTCAGTAGATGGAATCTTCTCAATTAGAATTATATGATTATCCATTAGGCGTTGGATGCCTTCTTTCAGTAACTTGCAGCCATTAGGTTGGGTTGTACAGCAGTAACATCTTTCAACATAACCCAGAAATAAACCGACTTGCAACAGATTCTTCTTGATCATTAGGAGGGGAGTAACCAATTCACTTAGAGTAGCAACATAAAGAACATAATCAATAGCACTTATGCCTTTGTCATGCTTTGACATTGGTGTGGTAATTACATTGGGAGTTTCTGGAGGGTCAAGCTCAATCTCTTTGTTGTCAATCATATCCTGAATTTTGTTTTTTAGGGCCCAACAATTATTGGTGTCGTGCCCAGAACTGTTGGAATGGTAAGCACACTTCGTATTTAGATTGTAGCGGGGAGAGGAGGTGTTAGAATTCTGAGGAGAATCCCTTAATGTAATCAGTTCCTCTTTCAGTAAATGTTGTAATGCCTGAGATAGTGGCATGTTGATCTTCGTAAACTGTCTTCTTGGAGCGTCTGACCTACATTGACCGCCCTATTGTTGTTGTTGTTGTTGAACAGGCGCATGGTTAGAAATTAGCACCGCTCTTATAAACTGATTACATTCACTTTTAACACGGTCCTTCTGGCCATAAACAGCACTGGTCTCCGTCTTACCACTGAATGTCTTCTTCACAGCACTCGAAGACGCGACCATTGGAATATTTCTACTCTTGATACCACCTTCGACATGTTTTCCAGTTAGAATCAACTCAGTAAAACCAGATGAGGAGCTTACAATCAGATGGTTAAATAATGGCTCTGTTAAAGTTCCCATGAACATATCAACCAGCTCCCTATCAGATAAAGGAGGTTGCACTCTTCCAGCCAGATCTCTTCACTTTTGGGTATACTCTTTGAACCCTTCATTTGAGCCAATAGTCATATTTTGTAATTACACACGAGTTCGTGCAAGGTCAACATTGTATTGATATTGCTTGTAAAAAGCAGTAGTCGGGTCTTCCCAAGTGCGAATGTTGGTTCCTTCCAGCTGATAGAACCATTCGAGTTGTGTCATAGATAAACTCTCTTGAAAAAAGTGAATCCATGACTTTCTGTCAGCAGTATGGGGTTGGATATTCCGAACATAAGATCTCAGATGAAGCTTAGGACAAGACACACCATCATATTTAGAAAAAGTGGGGGTCTTGAATTTGTGAGGGATAATAACCCCCGAAATAAGACCCAACTCCTCAAAATCCAGTCCAAGCACTTTCTAGATTCCCATAGCATTGAGGTGATCTTCCAACTGTTTGTATCGGTCATCAGCAGGAGGATATTGTTCATCAGAGTAATCTCCATCTTCAGGAATTTTACCAGAACCAAGGTTCCTTCCGCCTTCATCCTTGACACTTCTACCATCTTCCTCTTGGTTATCTTCTTCATCGGAGGAAATAACACAATTTTGAGCTGGCTTAGGAAGGTTTTTGAACCTTCTCCCCATGTTGAGGATAGCACCTGGCTTCCGAGTCTTCTTTTTGGAGATGAGCACCATCATATATTTTTGTCCCTGAGCTAAGTTCAAGAGAATTTCCTAGAATTGGGCATTCTGAGCTTGGAGTTCCTTAACAGACTGTTCTAGAGCCATCTTTTACTGAAATAAACAACAAGAAGATGAGAAAACCTATATTGGAAAACCTGTTATGAATAGATGCATGATATGTATATGTAATCTTTTCAAGGATCTCACGGGGTAAACAAAAAAGATGTGTTAGAAGTTGAGTCTGGCTGCAGCTTTGACTGAAGAACTTCGCGTCACTGAACGTCCTCCTATTAGAATCAAGATCACCATGTCAAGTGGGTCCTAGACTTTGACTCAAGTTGACATACTTTGGTCTTTGACGACATTGGTTATAGGAAAATAAATCCTCTTGCCCCTTGCTAGACATCAGTTTATCAAAACCTGCATCACAGGCCCTTGAGATCCTTGAAATGGTCAGTGGAAATGCTATGGTATGATGTCATGATGTTATGATATCGTGTTCGAACAGATAATCAAACACAAGAAAAGCACACGAAAGCCTTAGGTTCATGCTTGCATGGGGTTTGTAGGTAAGTTCCCTCTTGAAGGTAAGTTGGCTCAACCTGTCCTAAGAAAAGTAACTGGATTCTAGGAGTCTCATATCACCGATCTTTCTCTCAGGCATTGTTTCAGCACAACATCTGATTTGTGATTGAAATACCCTGGGAGTCTGATCCCAATGAGTGTAGCATCGAGTATCAACCAACTTTGGACTGCACCAAAGTTGGCCATCTCACTACCTTCTAATGGCTAAGTTAGATCGATTAAGGTTCTAAAGGCTAGTTAATGCTTATGACACCACGCGGCAGCCTAACATTATCCTTGACTGACTCAAGGGATACCATCACAAACCAATGTGTCGCACTAACGTAGCCATCACTTCAACCATATCGGTCTACGCCATACAATTTCCACGGTCTATAACTACTTACCTAAAATTCCCCCAGATCCAGGTATAGGATCTTTGCAACAAATAAACCCGAGAAAACCACAAAATGTAAAGCACACAAATAAAACAAATAAAGCATTTAAACGTGATCTAACTCTAAGGTAGCCCTACTTTTGAGTATCTCCCTAACAGAGTCGCCAGTTCTGTAATACGGTGGGAGAACTGACTTGGTTTTTTGCGTTTTATCGCAAATGTTGCGGATAGCTAGAGTCGCCACCAGATTTTCTTTTATCCAATAAGGAAAGGGTGAAAAGAACAGGAAAGACCTTTGGGATTTATTGAGTTCGGGGGGTAGGTTATGAAAAGGGAAGGTGTTAACACCCTTTTCATCTATAGTTATCTACAGGCTCTTAATCACTAGCTCACTTTTAAAATTCTTTGTGAATGTGTTTGAAAATATTTTTAAAATGCCAGTAGTCTGGAAACTTTGTAATGATTCTTGTATTGGTTAAGAATGCGTACAAAGTGTTTATTTGAAAATATTTTGAAAGTGTGGTTGTGAGAAATGTTTTTGTTTTGAAAAATGTGAGCAAGCAATTAAGAACTATCTACATACTTGAGGTATTTCGTATTATTTTCCTTCTCCTTTAGATAGTTCTATCCTACCATGAGTTAGTAAGAAGCCCTATCGTTAGATGTGAAGGGACATGCGCGAGTCATCATACAGTCATGAAGGCAACTCGTTGGGGTGCTTTAGCAATTCGTAAGGGACTAGATCATTTACCGAAGGCAGCATCGAAGGATCATCGAGGGAATTTGATCTTTTTAATTGAGGAACAATGCTAAAGCGTCCCCACATTCGAGGGACATGATTATGTTTATCGTTCCGAAGGAAACAAGTGAGGTGTGTTTTGATTTCAGTTAATTTATCTTGCGTTAGGGTTAGCTATCGATTCATTATTATTATTTTCATACAAGACCTAATTGCTAACAGTAATGTGACAAAATAGGAAATTCGTAAAGTGCGGAAAATAAATGTTCCTACGCTATTACATGACCTTGGGAATGGGGGGAGGGGTACAAGTTTACGAATGAGGATGACATAAGAAATGAACACTCAAGCTATAATTAAATCACATAATACAAGTCCAAACCAGTAAATAATTATTTAAGTTAAAACTCTTTTTATTTGATAAAATTAATTAATAGTGCCAAACAAAAATTATTTTAAAGAAAATAATTATTTAATACATCATAATCTTTTTCATTTTAATCATATACCAAAAAAATTAAAATAAAGAAGAAAAGGGTTAGAAATAGGTGGGCTGAAGTAATCTGGGGGTGTAAATAAAATTTCATCCAGGCCCAAATAAAGGAAAGCCCAAGTCCAATACGAACGATCTAGTATGATCCATCAGTGAGGATGCAACATGGAACACGCCTATGAGTTGCATGATGAAGATCATGAAGTGGTTAAGTGATGAACCATGGTTGTTATGGTGAGTGCATCTGCATAGAATCAAGTGGTTACCATAAGGGCGGTGACAAGTGTCACCGCTGGATTAGTTGTTTCAATCAAATTTAATTAACAAAAGGAAAGTTTAACAACTAGCTTAATCAAAAATTGTGACACATATTATCATCCATTTGTTTTTCTTGTCCTCTCTCCTCAATCTATGTTCTCTCAACAGAGCTCGCCAGAGAAGAGACATCTACTGCACCGGAAATCACCTTGCAGCATCGGCAACAGCGACAACATCACTACCTGTTCCGATTTTCAATTTTTTTACATATTTTGAATCGTCTTTCTCTTTTGATCATGATTCTATGGCTTGATTTTGCAGGAAACGTCCGGTCGCACGTTGATCTAAAAAGGGGAAATGAAACCCTAACAAAGATTATGACAAAAATTGAATGAAACGATAAAGAGAAAGAGAGAATAGGCGCTATGTGTACGCGGGTAACGACCTTTTTGAAGGGTGATTGAGGGTTGACAGAGGAGGACGGATATGCTAATGGTCTCTCTCTCTCTCTCTCTCTCTCTCTCTCTCTCTCTCTCTCTCTCTCTCTCTCTCTCTCTCCGCTTCATGGTGGTAAGAGTATCACTCTCTCTTTGCGAACTTGTTTCTTCTTCTTCCTCCTTTTCGTGATTTTTTGAAGGTTTTGGTGATTAGGGAAGATGATGATAACTCTTAGGGTTTGTGTTGTTTGTGGCGCTATCTGTTTTGTGAACTTGTTACCTCTTTTCAAAACTTGTGCCAATGATTGTTTTATATAGTCCTGAGATTAGGGTTTCTTGTCGTAATCGATTTTGGACAGGCTTGCTTGTTATTGGCTTTCACCAATTCTACTTGTCATCCTTCTTATTTGTGATTTTTTGTGACGTATGTATTGTTGTAGCAACTCTGTTATTAGGCTTTAGCAAATTCTGATATGTTGCTTCATTTTTTGGGCCTGAGATGTAATTCTGACTTTGCTGCCTATGATGAAATCCTGAGTTTATTCTTTTTGTACCTCCTTTGTGAACCAAAATTAGTTTGTGATTTGCAATGGATGCAGTTAGGCCTTTGATTAAACTGAAATTCTAAATTTGTTGCGAAACAACTTGTATGAGGCATGTTCTTGATTGCCTATGGACCAAATGATTGAACTCAAAACCCTCTTATTCTGATTCCTATCACAAAACCCTAATGATGAATTTTTAAAATAAACTTTCTTGAAAAATTCTTGCTTAACAATTCTTGTTCATGTCTTTTTGATGATTGCTTTCTAACAAATTTGTGTTTTCTTTTCCTTGTTTCATGTGATGGAAGATGAGAGAAAGATGATTGGCCCTTGACAGGAAGAAGAAGAATTTGTGGCCTGAATTGGAAAATTGGAGGGAGATTCAAAAGAAAGGAAATGTAAAGTCTCTTTAGAAATCATAAGTTTTGGCTTAGAAACATGGATGATTTTATAGTCTTGATGATGTAATTTGAAACTTAGGAACTAAGAGGCTTGAAACCCTCTTGTAACAAAAAGAAGTGGTGATGTATGAAACTAAATAGCAATTGGAATGTTCTTACATTATTTAGAAAGTAAGGATACTTTGTAGAAATTGTAATCAAACTTGGATCTTTGGTAAATTTGGATGATCTTGAATGAATTTTGAAAGAAATTAATATGTGGTGAATTTGAAATACTTCAAATACTTGGATAGAAAACCATGAAACTTGTAACTTGTAATGAGGTAAATTTGTCCCTTCATTTCAAAGAGAAGTCAAAGACAATATGATTTATCATAGGCATAGAAAAACCACTTATCTTGATTCATCACACTTGGTTTCCTCTTTCACTAATTCTAAATTTAAACTCACTTAAATTGCCTTTGAAAATTATGCTTGAAACAAATTTCAATTTTCAACTTTCTCCCTGCATTTAGCATGTATAAACTTATCAAATGAGCCTTCAGTTCTCAAATTCCAAGCCAACTTGTATTTGTAAGCAATGAACAATTGAGGATAAACAAACTTTGATCAGAATAAATCCCTTGCAATGATGAAGATAAACTTTTACATATCTTAATGGAGAAGATTATATCTTTGAAATAATAACCTTCTGATAATCATACTTCAATAATCAAAGTCTTAGCATAAAGTCCAAAAGATAGGAAAAGCTGTGATCCATTTCCAAACCCTTGCATTCCTGAATCTTCTCATGAAACAAAGAATCCGCTGAGATGCCATGAGGTATGAAAAAGCCTTAGTAGCTTGAGTAGACAGAAGAATGAGTATATGAGATTCATCTTGGATTGATTGACGACACAATCAAATTCCATTGCTTTAGGAGAGTTTGAGAAACAAAATAACCTTGATCCCATCATAATGTATGAAATGCATATAATGAAACATAAGCCACTAAAAGTAAAATGAAGAGGGAAAATTTTAGGGTACAACACAGACATTATTATGGAGAAAATTATGTATGCATGGAATTTTATAATAAATGCATCTATAAAAGATCTATATGTTGATGCAGTTTTGTTGAAACACTTTTACAGGGTAAGTATTTGCTTTATCGTTTCCACATGAATTGATGTGATATTACCGCCGTTCTATAGTTAACAGTTATTTTAAGCTTAAGATTCATAAAAGGTTTTGGTTTTGGTTTTAGTAACGAAAAGTTTCAATTTCATGAAAATTATCAAGTGTCGGTACAAGAGAGTTTTGGTTTTAAACGATTGGTAAAATCATGTCAAAATCAGAGCTCGATAATTTATTTCGTACGTATAAAGCATGTGAACTTATTAACAATCAATATAATCACATATCCTCTCAATAAGTTTCATCTCTAAAATAAATTGTAAGATTTATCATATTAATCCTTAGATGATCTCTCAACCTAACTATTAATATGATAATTTTAAAAGCTTGATATAGGTGAATATCAACTCACAAAACTATGTCTAGAAATTGTTTGTTGATAGATGAAAACCTAGGTCAAGAGTTGAACATATTTCTCAATAATGATCAAATCAAATATAAACCATAAAACAAGGAGTTTTCACAATATATTCATCATCAACTTGTTCGCATACAAAATATCATGATAAATACATACAAAAGTGAAGATTATCTACCTCTAATCTTGATACAAAGAGAGATTTAGCTACCCATAACCATGGTAGCTTGATGAACAAGTAAACAATAAAACTTTATGAACATCAAACTTGAAGTCTCAAAGATTGATGTTGTAAAGCTTTGATTTGGAGTAAAAATGAAGAAAAATGTATTTTTCTCTCACAACCAAGTGTTTTCTAGGTTACAAAGTTGCAAGAAATGGTAGATATCCTAAAAATATCTACAAAGTGACTTATATACATGGTTTTGCCCAGGCACCACCGTCAGGCGATGCCTTTCCACCATGGGGCGCTTCCCCTAAAACACCTCACGTTATAGCACGTGACATCCAAAAAGGTGGAAAATACCTTCCACCGCCCATAATGTATCGCCTGGCGCTCACATCGCTACTCCATCGCCAACTGATCGTCGGGCGCTGAAAGCCAAACCAGAAGACAGTAGCTACTGGAATTTTTCCAAAATCCATCGCTTGTTCATCGTTGATGCACCACCAGGTGATGCTTCCTTCTAGCTCCACCTCACCGCCGGGCGGTGCTTTCAAAACACTGACACTAAAAATTCTTTATTTCTTCATCTCTGAGACCGCCTTAAGCTATAACTTTTGAACAAAAAATGCTGAAAAACTAACAAACACATTAAAACATTCAAGGTTATATACATTTATGCAAGAATGGCTTAAAATAAGTCATTTTCATAATCAAAAGCACATAAAAGAGCTTAAAAGTTTCAATATATGATATGGAAAATAACCAAAATTTTACACCTAACAACTCTCCCAAACTTGCATTTTTATTTGTCCTTAAATCAAAGGTAAAATTCCAAAGACAACAACAAAAATCTCAAAAGCACAAAATCAACCGGAATAAATTTGGATGGTTTAAACTCGACAATTGCGCACTTAAGATAACTTAATTACTTTGTAACAATCATAACATGGTAATGAATCAAGCTCTAAACACAAACATCACATAATGCAACCTTAGAAACAACATGTTCTTATTTGAATCACCTAAATCACTCAACAAAATATGAACTATGTACAATATTTACAAGGGACAAAACACTCTCACTAATAAGTATGCTAACATCCGGAACAATTCATGCATTCATCTCAATAATCAACAAGGAAATCAAAGAAACAAAGATCATTAACGGACTTTTATAGGATGTATCTTGGCTTAGGTTAACAAGAAAGGGATATTTCTATAAGGCCATTGAATCAAAATGGTTAAAAATGATGAAGAACATGTCACTTTTCGCACAACTACCATCTTGCTCAATCCTTCTTCTATTCAATCCTTTCATTCTTTTTCTCATGGTGCCATCTTTCATTTTTCAATTATTTGTCTAGAAAAAAATTCCTTTCAAATGATTCTTGATTAGGGGTGGAAAAACGGGTTGTGACCCGTCAGGACGGCCTACGCATCCGCTAAAAAATGGTGGGTTGGGTTCGTATTTTGGACCCACCGCCCACCAAAACCCACTTCCCACCAAAGCCCGTCGCGCCTATTCGTTCAGCTTGTTTCACCTTAAGTCCAACCTTTTTTATTTAGTTCTAGTTGGTCCAATTCTTGATGGTTTTATTTTATACATTTATTTATATATGCAATATTTTTTAAAGTACATTTTGTTAAAAGATGATTTATAAAAAAATATTCTAAAAAATAAGTGAAAATCTAATTGAAATGTAAAAAAGAGCCTTTTAATATATTAAAAAAATGAAAAATAAATAAAAAATTAAGCGGACAAGTCCGCCGCCCGCCAACCCGCCACTAGCGGTGCGAGCTAAATTTTTATGCCCATTTCCACTTGGCGGGCTTGCCCACCCCGCTCTTTTTTTAGCGGGCTTAAGCCGAGGTGAGGCGGGGCAGGCGACCTATTTTGCCACCCTTATTCTTGACCTTACCGGTTGATCAGAACCTAAAGTGGTCCAACTGGATAACGTCTTCTTGGCTGGAAATATAAGGAGAGGAGGGGGTTTACCTGCAAGGTACTCCGATGATCTAGTGAGAAAGAGTGAAAAGAGATACAAGTAAGAGATTATGGTTTTAAAATGTATATTGTATACATGTCCCTTACAAGTGTGAGGGTTTATATAATGCCCCTGACGCATAGCCATTGGTCCCTATTTTTGGGCCTAGATATTCGGGTCTGCAAAAATAGGTAATTGCCAGGACTTGGTCAAAATGGGAAGTATACCCGTAACTAGCTGTTGCACCGAGCATAGAAGAGATTAAAGACATAAGTGTTTCCTGGCCGTCTGCTCTATGTTCGTCGAGCAGACTGGGAGCTAGTTGTCTGCGTGGGTAGGAGTGTATCTTGGGCATCATTGGCCTTACTACCCAAGGGGCATGGTCGACTAGGGATGCCTGTCAGGAGGTCTAGAGCTAATGGGCCAGCGTTGTTAGACCATGTTACATGTAGACATGGATTGGACCAATCCTAGTCATTGGGCCAATCTATAACAGGAGCCCCTAAGTTGTTTCCTATGGGTAGAGGGGCAATGACTTAATATGTGCTCGCGGTATTTTTGGGGAACATCTTCTTTCGAGGATCTCGAGTGTTGTTTTGGGAAGAGGAACAACTAATTGGAATTTGGAGAGTTTGTGTGCCACGCTTGCTTTGGGCTACATGTTGTTAGACGTTTAATGATGGCTAGTCTAGGAACTAGGGTGCAGTGATGACGCCTCTAGAGGTTTCCCTAGGCGCGTGCCCGCTCACGTGCTAGCAAGTTTCTTCATAAAAGGGGGAGAGGGAGCTTTATTTGCATTTTTGCTTGCTCTTTTTCTACTAGTTATGTACGACACCGTTGTTCTTTGTCGAAGTTCTTGCTCGTTCCACCATTTACCCTTGGGATTTCTGCCTGTTCCGCTGTTAATCTTCCTTAACCTGGTAAGTTTCTCGATTTCTCCCTATTTCTGTGGAATTTGCTTTTGTTCTAGGTTATATTTTATGTTTCTTTTCCTATAAATGCATGTGGCTAGAGTTTAGAGTAGTTTATGCGGAACTCTCCGGCGGTATATTGGTATTTGATGATGGTTTTATCATGTGAGGATACTGATTTCGACGTGGATCCTTTAGAGTTTTTGGGCAATTAGGTCATTTTTTAGGCTTTAGTTATGATCTTCATGTGTTTTTGATGAACCCTCAAGTGAGGTTTAAGACTCAGATGTCGGGGAGAGTATTCCTTACGTGGGTTATGGTTTACCATGGCAGATAGGCGCCTAACGCGTTAGAGGGAATCATCCCCATGTCGTTCTATGATGTTTAACTGAGGGCTCTGGTCGGGGACATGGTCCTCGTTCC